CGTTTCGTTTCTTTCGGATTTAAAGTCTTTCCGATTTGTACGGTCTCAATCCTACTGTGTATGATTTTAGCGTCGTCAAATCTGGCGCACTGGGAGTTCATCCACACCTAGTTTTACGCGCAATCACAGAGTCATCATTTTTTGAAGTTTCTTCTTTTTTTCATATCATCTTCTTGATTTCTTCGTTTTTTACTATCAAAATTCTGAAAATAGGATTTGTTTTCAGATAAGATGGCTGGTATGCACTTTCTTGTGGGTATCTCTACCGAGAACTACGTGATTTTGGCTGCCGATAAGGCCACTTTCGCCTACGGAGCTATTCTCGCAGACAGCGGTTGGTTTTCAACTTCCAAATTTTCTTAGATCGAAATAATGCTTACAGAAAATGATAAGGAGTACAGACTCGGCAAGAAGCTGACAATGATGTGCATTGGAGAAGAGGGAGACGTTGCTCAATTCGGAGATTGGACTAAGAGAAATCTTCAACTCTACTCTGTTAGAAATGGTATATTCCGTTCACTATTGTTCATGTATAATTGTGCTCATTCAGGTTATGAAGTGTCTCAGCGAGTGCTCATCACTTCGTTCGTCGCAGTATTGCCGAAGGTCTTCGCTCACAAGATCACTACACCGTAGATGTCCTCATTGGAGGTTATGACGACAAGGAAGAAAAAGCCTTCCTTGGCTCCGTTGATTATCTCGCCAACGGACTCGCTCAGCAGGTATTTTTAGTCTCTTTCGGTAAAATAACTAATAAATTCAATTATTCAGCCATACTTGTTTCGAGGATTCTGTGGACGATTCTGCTACGCTATCATGGACCACGAATACAAAAAAGGTATTTAAGAAGTGTTAGATTTCCCCAAAGGTTTTTTTCCAGACATGTCCGAGACTGAAGGACTCGCATTGATGAACAAGTGCATCGGAGAGGCCAAGAGACGTTTTGTGGCCAACATTCCTGGATATAAAGTCGTCATCATTGACAAGAACGGATACCGCAAGCTGAATGATGTTCTCTTCTAAAAGATTCTCTCATCACTCCGGATAATTTGCACCGGTTATAAATTTCCTCCCCAATTATTTCGTCCCTTTTTGATCGGTTTTAATTTATTGACAAATTCGAATGTATCATTTATTATACTTTTGTCTCTATGAGTTATTTCTAAACATGTTATCAACAAAAGATCTTCTCGATTAGACCACTTGTTTTAGTAGTTGTTTCCGACGTTCTTCGATCAGAAGACTTCCGCGTTGCTCCGCTGCGTGCTTCATGTTCAGCAATGCTTCTCGAGTTTTCTTCGCCTCGTCAGGTCTTGAGGAGAATTCCGCCGACGATTTTTTGTCGCAGGTGGAATAGATCTCGTTGATTGCCTTCTTGTATTCATTCAGAATTCTTCCTTTCGCATCTGTTGCCATTTTCTCTCTCCTTTCTTTGCTCGTAGGAGGAACATTAACGTACAAAACGGCGCCTTCTTGTTGCGGAGTCACGTTCAAGGTGGACTTCTGTAAAACCTAGTTTGATTAAGTCAATCTAGAAGTTCTTTACCTGAATTGCAAGCTTTGCAGCTTTAATCGCAGATGGATTATCTTGAAAATTGAGCATAACAATTAATGGGGATTTCAGTGTTACTCGAGCTACCAGAGAAAGCGGTTTTTCCTTCCCGTTGTCCAGTTTCACCATTACATCTTCGTACTGACGAATGTCAACCTCAATTCATATTAATAAACTTTTGTCAATTAGAAAAAGTTTACTTTCAGAAAAAGTGTCGGCTAAGCTCTTCCACAAGTAAAGCTTCTACTCGTTGAATTTCCTTCAAAGCATTCTGAACAATTGAGTTGTCATCGAGGTTTGAGAATACCGCGGGAGGAGTCTGCAATTTTCAAAGTTCTAATTTTTCATCGTTTTCAGTGTTTTAATAACCTTTTTCTTGTTATCTACTTTTTTCTTGGCAAATGTTACAGCAGAAGAAGAAAATGAGTTTTGGCTTGACAGAAATTGTCTTCTAGAAGTATTCTGTGTTAATCTAATAACAGCCAAACGAATCATTCAGTCTGAAATAAGGGAAAAAGTTAAACGTTAAAACAAAACAACGACAAGTGCTTCGCGATTGCGAGTAAATAAGTGCGTCGTCTCAGTTTCTCGTCGTCTGTCGTCTCTTCAACCAATTGTACTCTCTCATCTTCAAGTATTGGGGTTATGCATGATTTGTTTTTTTAATACAAAAAATACGAAAAATACATAAAATACATTTTTTCGCATGCATGCATTAATTTTTTGTGTTAAAAAATTCCAAAAAAATACATTTTTTATGTCATGAATAACCCCATATGAAGCGATTGGTTATGAAAGTGATTCATAATACAGTATCTTTATTGTAAAATTTGGAAAGTTCAAAAACAAAAGAGAAGGAATAACTGGAACATTAGTTTTCATTAATTTTGATTACGATCTTCGAAGCAGAGCAACTGTAGATTCATCATCTAACTCTCTTCGAGTTGAACTGGCAGCAGATACATATCTCCTGATAGACTCCCTGAAAAAAGATTTACATTCTTTCTAAAACATTCTGAAAGTTTCTAATGGCGCGTTCCGTTTTGATTCATTATTTTCCAGAAAGCAGATGCCATGTTCCGTGCCAATGTTGTCTACTTGTCCACTTCAGAACAACAATCAAAACCACCTCTTCGTTTCTCTCCATCCCGTTCTCCACCAGTTCGTAGAGCCCTCCCGATTGAAATGACACCGACTCAACACTATGCACAGCTATGTAAAATAAGATCACCAAAACTCAATTCGAAAGTGGTTTTCGCTGCCAAACCAATTGCCGTCAGGTTAGATTTATTTTCTGAATTATGTATCAAATATTATGAACATTTCCCTAAAAACCAGATAATGAGCTAATAAATTCTCTGTTTCAG